ACTTTACATAGTTGATAGTTTTTAGATAACATTTAGGGCCAAGATGATTCAAAACATTCGATTATATTACAAGCTCAGTTAATGAAGGTTTGCCATTGGTGATCCTATTTCTGGACTTCGCTAAAGCATTCGACTCAGTAGACCATGAGAAGTTATTATTTGAATTAAAAAGCCTTGGATTTGAATCGAAAGTATTAAACTGGTGTAGAGGCTTCTTAAAAAACAGATTGCAGAGAGTGGTATTAGGTTGTTTTGAATCAGGTTGGGAGGAAGTTGTAAGTGGCGTACCACAAGGTTCAGTTTTAGGTCCTCTCTTATTTGTTGTATTTATTAACGACATAACAAAAAGAATCAAATCACTTTGTAAAATTTTTGCTGATGGCACGAAACTCTTACGAGCTATCAAAGATGTGAATGATTCAATTGAACTACATCAAGATATTAATTCATTAGTAGAATAGTCAAACGAGTGGTCACTAAAATTCAATAAACAGAAATGCAAAATAATGATATTTAATAATAGTCAACAACAATTCGAATTTATGATCGAAGGCAAAAAATTAGTGGTTACAAGTTTGGAAAACAATTTAGGAATTCTAATTTCAGACGATTTAGAATGGAATAATCATATAAACTGTGCAGTGAACAAAGGGAATCAAAAACTTGGTCAAACATGTTTTCTGTTATATGAATGAGATTATGATGAAGATGTTATTTGTCTCATTAGTTAGACCTCACTAAGAATATGCAGCCACAATTTGGAACCCATACTGGCAGTATGATAAGGATAAATTAGAGAAAGTCCAACAAAGAGCAACTAGAATCAAAAGTTTATGAGAGTATAGCTATGAAGAGAGACTTAAAAAACTAGATCTATTATCGCTCAAAAATAGAAGAAAAAAAGGGGGTTTAATTCAAATGATCAAATATTTTAAAGGATATGACATAATTAATTTTCACCGTCCACCAGAAATTATTGATAATGAAAGAAAAACAAAGGGTCAAAATTTGAAATTAAGAAGGCAATTAACAAGCAACATGAAAAGATTTAACTTCTTTACAAATAGAGTGGTGAATGATTGGAACAATCTTGATCAAAATGCAATAGATGCAAGTACCATCAATCAATTTAAAAACAGAATAGACAAATATTTTAAATATTAGAGATTATTTTTTAAAGCTGTTTTGTTTTGTTACAGCTGTTACAGTCTCGAACTCTGCGTAGTTTGGACTCAACACTCAAGAAATTGAGTGTACAGCATATTTCTATTCTATTCTAAGATGGTTTTTATTACAATATTCCAAGTTTTTTCAGAAACTTTCCTATTTATTCTGAGCTTATTGAGTTAATTTTTTTTATTTAATCAAATTAAGTTGAAAAATCAGTCTGTTTATTATAATTTACTTGTTATCAACAAGAAAATCATATCTCACAACTAAAAAAACCATTTAGAGTAAACCAACCTTAAAATAAATACAAATACACTAATGAAAATTTGCACCCACTCATTTATTAAGTCGGCTCCCCAGTCAGAAGTTATTAAACAAAAGCATTTATTCTGCACAAAATATATATTTTTTGAGAGTATATAAAATAAGCAACTATAAGGGAGGATTAAGGTTTAAAATTATGTTGATCAATCATGTTTTGAAGTCAGAATGTTTTTTCTCAAATTTTAGGTTTTGTTTGCTTTTTTTTTTTTAATTTTTTTTTTTTTATTTAAAAAGCTGAATCTTTATTAATTAATATATTGAAAAAAATAGATTGTAAAATATTTTACATGAGTATTGAACTTTAGATCGAGAATTTTATGTAACACATAAGCATTAAAATCTTTTTCATCATTTTTTGAGCCCCTTTCTCCTTGTAATCAAGTTTAATCATTCAATAGACTCTAACTTTACTTATAACTCCAATACTCTTATTTATATAAACATTTGTTATATAAACATATAAATGTTTGGAGTTTACTTAATGTCTGGAAGTTAGCTATCTCAAAGACTAAAAAATGCTGCATCCCCCCTGATGTATATTGAAATTGTCTATATTTTATAAATAAAATTGGGGCTATTATCTATTTACATTTTTTTAACTTTAGCTAATAATTACAAAATTTTAGCCTCAAATTGTCTACTTCACCAGTGTTGACCTTGTGTTATCAGCAGGGTTGACACTAGCGTATTAGACACTAATCAACCAATCTATTCTAATTTTTTTATATAATTACAACCCAGTATAATATTATTTAAATTTATTCATCTTTTATTGATCAAATCAATCAATATTGGGTCATGAAGTATCTGTTCATTTAGGCAATAATGTGTTTTAACAATTTGTGGCTATGAAAATAGCTGTTTTAAATAAGTGTATTATAGAGTAATTTTTATTTGCTTTCTGCATGGTACTGGCTCTTCATTAATTTCAAAGTGAACCTCTTCTTTGGAATTACCATCTTTTATAGGTCAGAAGACTTTTTGATTTCGAATGGTATTATCATTATAGCCAAAATCACGGACAGATGGATTATTTTTGCGAAAACCAATTTGGCGTTGATGTCCAAAATAATTTTCAAATGGATCTTGACAAAATCATTCTGTTAATACATAAGACACACCATTAGAAAGTAAAAATTTTATCATCTCAACAGCAGAATTAACAGTAATTTTAATCCCTTCATAGGTTTGCCACAATAAAAACATTTTACTTTTATCATTTAGAGTAAAGTTACCTTGATGGTTATTGGTGGAACTTTACCACTTTTCGAAATATGGCAATTCTGTTTTAAACCAGTTAAAATGATAGTCGTCAACAGAAGAAAATGGGACTAAGAATGGCTTTGACTTTAGAATTGATTCCATAGGATTACTAATATTCATAATATCAAAAAAACTGTCAATCATTGAGCAAAAGTTAGCGTTTGGCAAAAGCATCTGAAGATCCATAGTTAAGAAGGACTTTACTCACATTATTGCTAAGAACTCGAGCTGCTAATTTGACGTTCATAATAGAATAAGATGATAGTTTTATGTGATCATTAGATAATTTTGGAAGTAGATGTAAACCACATGTTTGGTCTTCTTTAAAAATGTCTGCTATGTGACTCTATAGAATGTATAAACCATCATTCCACATGTATCTAGTACATTTACCAGAGCCAGAGCTATAAATACAGTTTCTTGTTGTCTTAAGAAGGTCTGAGGGGTCAGAAAGTAAATATACCTTTCAGGACAATATAGATTAATAGTTTTATATGTGACATCTACATCTTTTTTATCATTAAAATTAGATAAACATAAATACATTTTAAAAAATTTTTGGTTAGGAGCAGCACTATCGCAAGTTGTTGCTATAACTTTTAACTTGCATTCCAGTTCACATAAAGCAATAGCTTTCCAAAATAAGTGTGGCAAAATTAGCTAGTGTAAACTTAAAAGGGTTAACTATACTGTGTATCATACTAGAACATGAGTTGTTACTGCATCAACTTTTTGTAAAGTTGCATAGTTTAAATCAATATCACCAAGGTCGACAAATCCTATAGTTTCTCTTGTGGGTGTATCCCATACAAGTGGGATAGACACACACAGGAGAAATTATAGGATTTGTCGACCTTGGAATGTTTGAACCAGGGGGCAACACCCTGACATAATGAGTAAGTTGATAAAAGAGTAATAATATTCAATAAAGTTTTTAACTGATTTGTTATAATTAGAATATATCTCATGCTTATCTGGTAAGTTCCGAGCAAAAGATCGTATTGTAAATAATAGGCTAGGTTGAATATATACTTCATATTGGGGTTGTAGGTGAATGTTGTCTAATTTGAAAACTTTGACTAAATCTTTTGATATAAGAAGTGATTCCAACATAAGGGTGCTGACACAATCTACAAATTCTGAAAATGATTAATAAAAAGAATGTACATCATTTTGAACTTTGTCAATTTCACAGCAATCTTTTTTCAACTCAATACCTAATGTTGGAAGTTTTGATGTTGCTAAGGAACTAAAAAAAAGAAAAAGAAAAAAACTACTTATAAATGAAAAATAAAAAATTAAAACAGATTCTCTTTTTAAAATATTTACCTAGATGTTTGAATACTCCTTTTTGGTAAATTTTTGAAGGTAAAGAACCTGATCAAAAGCCTTGCTCTAGTTGAATCTATAAAAAAATACAATGAATTTCAATATCTTTAAAACAATGAACTAATAATAAACTTAAAATAATATTTATAAATACTATCAGAAATATAAACATATATATATATATATATATATATATATATATATATATATATATATATATATATATATATATATATATATATATATATATATATATATATACATATATATATATATATATATATATATATATATATATATATATAAATATATATATATATATATATATATATATATATATATATATATATTTACACACTTTTTATGTGAACAGCTTACTTCTATTAACTTCGCGATCTTCAAAATGCTTTTCGCATCCATGAAAAGATTCACTGGCAATTTGTTTTCTTAATGCTGAATCAATTGAACAATCTTTTTTGATAATCTCTATCGATTTTCTTCTCCATTCAACATTATAGTCATCCTGACCTTTAGGAAGGCTGGGTACAAGAACCTAACATCAACGCAAAAACTATTGTTCCCAGGCCGTGTTTCCAGATTATTCATTCTTATGACTATGATTTAGTAAATTATTTTGTTTCATACAATTGTATTCATACAAAAGTTTCATTCAAGATATTGTTATATTTATAAACATAGTTGCTTGTTTTATTTACTTGTTACAAATTTATTTTTAATTTGGTTTAAATTAACATTTTATCAAATATTGTTTTAAACCATTAGGTTTATATTTATCAACCTAGACTCAAAGTCCTTAACGAATTTAGCATTATTTGTAAAGTTTCATACAATACAACTCTATCAATTATTCAGAATGTTATTTAAATTAGATATGTTTGCATTACTTTGTCTAGAGCAACATCAAAGATTGAAGATGCTTCCTCTTTATATTCAAGAGCTGGAAACTCATTTAAGATAGCTAAAAATTGGAAAGGTATGTTAAAGATAACATGGATCAAATATTTTTATACTTGTTTTTAATGTTTTATAAAAGGAGAGCAAAAAATGGTCTAAATTTAAAAAATAAATTGCTAAAGTTTATCTTGAAGTTGTGAATAAACATAGCAGTCTTTTGCAAATGCCTGAGAGCATTTTAATGTTGAAAATTGGTTTAAAAAAAATATCAAATTAAATTTCTTAAATGATAAACCAAAATATAATTCTTGGTAAAAAGTTTTTATACTAAAAAAGTTTTAGTTTATAAAAAGTATTTTTGATTGCATATCTTTATTATATTTCCCTCTATACTTTTATTTATAGTTATTTTAGATTTACATTGTTTATTTTTTAGCTGCAGGTGATGCATTTTGTGAAGCTGCAAAGCTTCAAGAAAACCAGCTTCAAAGTAAACACGAAGCTGCATCTCAGTATGTTGAAGCTGCAAATTGTTATAGAAAGTCTAACTTTGAAGGTAATCCTTTTATTTTGTAATTCTTTGAAGATAATTGAAAAATGGGACATGTTTGTAATGTTATGAGGGTATTCATGAGAAAAGTGGGACAGGTTTGTAGGTCACAATATCACAATCTTTTCTTTTTTCTTTTCAAAATGATCACATTTATCACAAATTTTCTTATGAAATTTCAGCACTGTTATCAAATTGGATTAAATCATAAAAAAAACAAATTATAAACGCACGCTTATATTGCACTCTGATATATATATATATATATATATATATATATATATATATATATATATATATATATATATATATATATATATATATATATATATATATATATATATATATATATATATATATATATATATATATATATATATATATATATATATGAATTACAGACATCCCAGTCTGTCCCAAAATCTCAAAATGTCCCAAATTTTACTTTTTTGTCACAAAATGTCATAATTTATAGGGTTATGTCCTAAATTGTCTTAAAATTTTAAAAGTTTTTTTTAAATAAATGTTAATTTTTACAATAATAGATTTATAGTAATATTGTTAATGTGTGTACATAAAAATGTGTGAATTAGAATGTTATCTGTAATTATCTATCCTCTATATTTATTGAATATATAGTTATCTATAATTGTCAATTTTATTGTTGTTTTAAGGTCAGTCTTTAAAATAGAAAAAGTTGTAAAAAGTGTTTAGATTGTTAAATTAAAGTTTAATTGTTTATTTATATTTATAAGATGTCTAAGAGAAAAACAAAATATAGTAAACTGTGGGAGTCTGAGTTTAACTGGATACAAGTTTGTCCTGGTGATCAGTATTCTGCAAGTTGCAAATTATGCCAAAAAAACTTTTCTGTAAGTGGAAGTGGAGCTGGACAAGTAAGAAGCCATGCAATTAGCAAACTTCACACATCAAGGTTTAAAGAAAGAGAAGGGCAAACTGAATTTATTAAAGATAAAGATAAAATACTTCAACTAAAAGCTTCAAAGATTAGTTTTACTGTTGAGGAAGAAATTTTAAAAGCCGAAAATATTTATAGTTTAAAGTGCGTTGAGTCTAACTATTCTTTTGCCTCAACTAATATATTTGTAAAATGTTTGAAGCCATTCCCAGATTTCCAGTTCCCAGATTCAAAAATTGCTAAAGGATATAGACAAAGTGAAACAAAGTCTAAATACGCCATTCAATATGGCATCTTTCCATATTTAGAAACATTGTTATTGGAGGACTTGAACAATACTGTTTTTACATTTAAATTTGATGAATCTACAACTCAACAAGTTGATAAACAGTTTGATGGTTATGTACAATATTGGTCAAAAAGGCACAAGTGCATTAAAATTGCATACTCTGGAACTGTCATGGTAGATCATTGTATTGCTAAACAGTTGTTAAAACATTTTCTTGAACTTGTAGAGAAAGTTAAACTTAACATAAAGTTTCTGCTTCATATTGGTACGGATGGTCCTAATGTAAATATTAAGTTTGAGAGACTTTTAAAATCGTCAGAGAAAATGAAAAGTTTGAATACAAATATTATATCAATATGCACATGCCCCCTGCATATAATTCATAATGCATTCAGAGCAGGAGTTAATGTTTTAAATTTCGACATTGACTCATTTGCAGTTGATGTTAACTTTTTCTTTAAACATTCTGCTGCAAGAAGATCAGACTATCGACAAATAGAAGATCTAACAGAAATTATTTCACATTTTATCCAAAGGCATTCTTCTACAAGATGGGTGACACTCAAAAGAATATGTTCTCAGATTTTAGAACAACTCAAGAATCTTTGTGTATATTTTATAAAATTTCTTCCAACAACTACATCTTTTAAATCAACTGTTAGAGATACTGAAAGATATAAGAGGATTACAGATATTTTGCAAAATGAAATATCAATGCGATATATTGCTTTTATAACAAATGACTTTGAAATATTTTTAAAAACATTTCAATCTATTAAACCAAGAATTCACCTGATTTACTCTGAAATGTCAAAGTTTATTAAAACTAAGGTTCTATATGTTAATAATAATAGTTGCAATTCCATAAAATCTATTAATGAGTTGCTGATGATTAATGTAACTGACTTAAAAATTTTTAAACCATTAAAGTTGATTGATATTGGCACCAAAGCCAAGTCTTATTTTTCAGAATCTCTAGAAATCTCATGTGGCGAGAAAAAATTTCCTTGGGAATCAGTTATATAAAAAAATGCAATCTTTCTTGATCCTTCAAAAAATAGAAGTAATGAGTCTCTAGGCGCTGTCTCAAATCTCACTATAGAAGTATGTAAATCCCCAGAAGTAGTCTTATGTAAAGTTTTTCCATCCTGTTCATCAAAGGAAGAGGTTTGTGATAATGTACGAAATGAATGGCACGTTTACCAAATGGAATTGTTTCCAGAATGCTATTATAAATGTTCTGAAGAATTAGTTTCAATTGGGAAATATCAAACTTCATACTGGGAAAAAGCTTTTCAGCTTGCCGGTCTTCCTGAAGTTTCAAAATTTTTTTGTAGTTTTGATATCAATACATTAATCAATTCCTTTGAGACCAAAATTTTAAATGATAGTGGTTCACCTAAGTTTCCTAATATTACATCCCTTTTCAAAGTTGTTTCTTTACTTTTGCATGGAAATAATGCTCCAGAGAATGGATTTTCAATTAACAAACACATTCAGTTACACGGTACTTCACTTGATCCGGATACAATTGAGGCTTTGAGGTTTATAAAAGATACTGTATTGAGTTTGGATTTATACTCGATATTCCCTTAACAAAGTCTTTTATAAAATCAGTTAAATTAGCTCACTCAAGTTACAAAGCTGACCTACAAGCTAAACGCAGGTTGAAAAAGGAAGAAGAAAAACTTAAAAAAACTAAAGAATCTGAGGAGGCAAAAAAACATGTTTTAGAAAATGAAAAACAAGCTATTCTTGCATCCATTCAACAAGTAAATTGTACTACACTTTATAAAAATTGTTTTACTGTGATTAGTTGTCAACTTTGATTTTTTTAAATTAATGCATAAAGTATAATTTTATTTTATTTTTTTGCAGATAAAAGATAGTCTATCAGTTGCTGACAATTTAGTTTTTGAAGGAAATAGTGATTTGAAGTGTTTGCTTCAAAAAAACAGCACAAGAAATGAATTGCAATGAGCCCAGTGTAAAATTGAAACAGGGATGAAAAGAAGACAAGAGCTTGTTGATAAGCAAGATGTATTAGAAAAAAGAAGTAAAGAGCTGTCAGTTTAGTCAATTTAGAATTATGTTGAAGCACTATTTATTTTGCATTGAAACTCTATTATAACTCTAAATGAATTAGTTTTTTTTTATTTAGAATAAAACATCAGTAGAATGATATTAACTTTATAAAATGAAAAATTTATTAACATTTTTTATTTTGTTTCTGTTACTTTTTTATAAGTCGATCACATAACAGAAGTATATTTAACTTTGGTACTTTGTTTAGTGTTTCAGATATAAGTTTTGCATCTTTAATCTGCTTTTTAATCTGCAGACATATTGCATGTAAGAGTTGTCATTGTTAAGTTTGAGTTTTTTAATTAAATTGTGTTTTGTTTATTGTCTACTTTAAATAAATTTAAACAATTTCCAAGGGTATTAAAGGGTAAATAATATATTATTAATAATTGAAATTAAAGGAATGATATTCTCAAACCTAAATTTAAAAAATTGAATCCAAAAACTTATTTATGATTTTAGATCGTCCTAGTATGTCCTAAACTTCACTCTAATTTGTTCTAAAAAGTCATAAAAAAATTGTCCCAAAATCATAAAATTTTACCATGTTTTAGGAGTGAGAGGCCTGGAATTGCATATGTAAATGTATATATATATATATATATATATATATATATATATATATATATATATATATATATATATATATATATATATATATATATATATACATTTTGTGCATGACTTTCAAGTAAACTTTCATTTCTCATATCATAAATATGCAAATTTGCCAAAATAATAAAATTCCTGCATTTAAGATCAAACACCAGTGAATATTTAACGCCCACTAACCTCAGTGGAGTTTAAAGTATGTTAATGTTTCTATTGTATTCAGAAACATTTTTTTCCAAAAAAAATTATAAATTGTTTTACACTAGCATAATTAATCTTTTTTTGCGCCTAAATATTTGTCTAAAGGATCAAAAATGTTTAGAACACATTTCAGAAATCCCTGTCCTGAATCCACTGAGGTTCTTACTATACTGGAGTAACCTTCTTTCAATAGTTCCCTATCAATTAAAACTATGGATAAAATACCTTAAAATGTTTAACTAACCATCAATACAAACAAATTGTTTGTATCTTTTACAAGTATTTATTTTTTATCAAAGTTTTATTTTCATTTTATCTCAAGTTTCATTTTATCTGTTGAATCTCTTGCAAAACTCAAACTTATTCTGTGTAAGACTATTTTAAATTTGTTTTATCTAGTTTTGATGGCTGTTATCATTTAATTTACAAAGACTTCTTTAGTCATATGCTTGGTCTGGACATATACTTCTGTATCAATTCATCTGTTTGTTGTAAAATCGAGTCTTCTTTATTAATGGTTTAGATGTTTATGATGATTGAATCCTCTGATTATTCTTTTTAAACACCTCTTAACTAAATCACCGTTCTCTTTGTTCTTTATCGTTCATCTTTTCAAGACTGCACTCTTTTCAATTTCAATTTCCGATCAAATTGCTCTTTCCTTTTATCCCCTGTTCCATTTATCTATAAGCCATAATTGTTCTTATTGGAGACTTAATTACTCATCATACTAAATGGCTCAGATATCAGCTAAAGTTCTTTGTGCTTTACTGATCCTAGTTTGTGCTAAGTTTTTCTTGTTTAGGTGGTTCTATGGTTCAGATCATGGTATGAATTTACTAAAACTTTTATCTTACACTTCTTCTACACTCATTCATTTGTCATTATTCACTCATTCATCACACTTGTTACTACTAGCTTAAAGCTGACTGGGATTTTTTCAAGATATTTTTTGTGATGGTTTTAAGACTGATGTCTTTTGCCTCTGCCGAAAATTGAGCTTTGTTGATAATCTTATGGATTCAGGCAGACATAAGTTTTTTTTTTTTTTTTAATTTGTTAGTTTCATTCAAGCCTTAATCTACTACACGGTTTTCTCCTTGTGCAGCTGCTAATTTTCTGCATAATCATTGTTTTCAACAGAATAATTCTTTAGAAAAAACTTCTCTTTATCATTGCAAGATTTGATGCAATCAATGTCTTAATAAACTTCTTTCTTATATAAACTTTTTTATTTAGTTCATTAGTTAATCACTGATTTGCATTTTTATTGTTATTTTACTAGAGATTAATGATTAATTAAATTTATTAATTTAAAACTTTAATTATATAATATATATTCTTTAGACTTAGTAACAAAAACTCATACAACTAACTTTTTTTTTTTAAATTTCATTATATTAAAAAAAAGATGCTATAATTCTAAACTTTTTATTTATCTCAGAAGAAAAAAATCTTTAACAATGTTATTAATAAATTTTAAACTTCCATCTCTCATACATCTGATCTTCTCTCAAGGCTATGGCTGAACTCTTTGCAAGTAAGTTTTCCTCTAGTTTATTCGTTGAATTTAATGACCACGCAATTCCTGTCATCCTAAAGAAACAGCTTTTTTATAAGTCTGAGAATTGCTCTGACCAATGTAGGAATAAGGCATTGGTCTTTCCTTTTATTATAGTCTTAAAATTTTCAACTAACAAAATCAAAAATGTTTTTTTCTCTTTGTTCTATTTCTAACCATTAAACAGAAAGTTTTTATATTGGCTAAGACAGAAGCAGTGAGTCAAAGGTTATTGCTCTTGACATATCAAAAATTAATAAAGTCTGGTATTCTGGTCTTCTTCATAAGTGTATGTATCTGGATATGTTTTTTAAAATCATTGAATCATTCCTTTTTAACCACAGTATTAAAGTTGCCCTTGATGTTTTTATTTTATTTTAATAATACTTCTAACAATCTTATTTCTAAAGTAGCTCCATTTGTAGACAATACATTTATGTTCATGTTTTGACAAAACTCATAACTTTTTGATTGCTTAGATCAGTCAGCCAATCAATCATTTTCTCTTCTTTGGGTTTTTAACTTAAGTAAAAGTTGTTTACTGCTAATAATATTGCAATATTGTTTATATTTCTTTATTAATAAATGGCAACACTCTATTGAATCCTTTTACTTGCATTTTTTTAAATTATTCTTTACTACTGACCTTTCGTGGAAATCATATATGCAGTCCATTTTTAGCTCAAGTAAAAGTTGTTTACTGCTAATAATATTGCAATATTGTTTACATTTCTTTATTAATAAATGGCAACACTCTACTGAATCCTCTTATTTGCATTTTTTAAAATTATCCTTCACTACTGACCTTTCGTGGAAATCATATATGCAGTCCATTGCAAAGTTAGTATCTGTCTTTTATTTTTATTGATTTATCAGAACAAATAGCTAAACAATAGCATAGTTACTTTTAAGTTGTTCTTATCTAAATCACTGCTGCTTTGGACTAATACTTTCTTCTTATTTTGAATTGGGTTTCAATTGGACTTAAGATTTTTTTTTTTCTTTTTATACTAGTTAAATGTGTTTATGCAACAAATAATTTGTAATTCTAATACTTTAGAAGCTATTAACTGCTTACAACAAGCTATAGAAATTTACACTGAAATGGTAACATTTTAAAATATATTTGTAACATATTTATTAAAAAATTATTATGATTTTAAACAAATACTTTTGCCACAACATTTTTTTATGATTTTTATTATTTGTTTTGCAAAACTTTTTTCTTAACAGAAATTTTGACTCACTTTACAGGGTAGATTTTCCATAGCTGCAAAACACCATATTACAATTGCAGAAATTTATGAAACAAACTTAGCTGATATCAATGAGGTACTATGAATGTTGTTATACTTTTAACATGTTTTAAAGTCGTTACTTTCGTTAGTTTAACATGTTAAATTTTTTTTACAAAAAATTCATTTTCAACTGTCTGCATTTTTTACATGTTGTTTTGTCAAAAAAGATTTTTAAAAAATGGTTTCTACTATTTTTATGACATTATTTATAACATAAAGTTGTTTTTATGGCTACAACAACATTAATTGCATAAATAAATTTTTTAAATCCTATTTTTACAAAAGTAGTTTGAAATTATTTTGATTTTAAATATTAGTTATTAAGGAAATATCCTCTTGAAGTTTTTCACTAGCAAAATACTAACAATAATAAATAAAACCTTATTATGGATACCTTTTGATTTTATTTGCAAAAATATTTAATTTTACTTGATAATTTAACGAATAAATGATAATAAACATTTTAAATTGTACAAAGTTTTTAATTGAATTTTTAGGCAATTAATCACTATACCAAAGCTGCTGATTTTTATAAAGGTGAAGAATCAAACAGGTATTTTATCCATTGCAACATGTTTTTATTGTTAGATTTTTTTAAAGTTTTTTCAATTTTTTACTAATGCTTTTATTAACTCGTCTCTGTTTGTCTGTGAGCATCAAATCTTGGAATCAATTTTTGAGTCACTTCCTGATAGTAGATTTTTTTCAAATTTTTAATATATACTCTTGCTTGGTGACAATACAATATTCAATAATTAGTTTTATAATAAGTCAATTGATTTTATTTAAGTTTATTTTTTATATGGAAAAAAGAATAATAGTTTTTAAAATAAGTATATTGATTGTTTTCATACTTATACACGTGTTTAGCATATTTGGATAAGGCATTGACTTTGTAAACGGAATGTCTGTGGTTCAAGACCCGCATCTTCCTCAACTTTTTTGTTTTTTACACATGCATACAGCCGAATGTTAATAAAATAAAACAGTATTATCAGAAAAAATTGATTGCAAAATTTGTGTTTTAATAACATATAAAAGCATTGGGTTTTAAAAATTCGTTTTTAAATTTACTTGCTTTTTAATCCTTTCTTAATTTTAGTTGACAGTTATGAGGTCATTACATATAAGATAAGCCATTTTTTTGAAAATCTCCCAGGTGATCATCTCAGACTTTCTTGAAAATTACACCCCTAATAGGTTTTATGGAAAAAAAGATTTTTCTAAAATTTTAACTTGTTATCTTGAAGCATTCTAAAATTATGGCAATTTGAAAAATTATCTTAAATACTTAAAAATAATCTTATGGTAGTAATCTACCTCAACTTTTAAAAAAATAAAAATTTATTTTACAAAAATAATTATTTTTGCCCATCTTGGACTTCAAAGTTATAAAAAAAAACACTTTAAAGAAAAAATTTCAATATTGATAAAGCAAATGAAAGCAGAATACACAAACAAATGTGAAATTAAATTAAATTAAATACTAGAAATAAAACGTATATCAAGTAATACTTCAGAGTGGCAGTCATCAAGCTTAGCATTTTCTATATGATCTGTTATATTAGTTTCAGAAATATTGATGAACCTAATACCCGTTATATTTTCAGTACACCATTTAAACATTTCAGTGACAGATAATATTTAGTTATTTTGCAGGCTAGTCCTAGATACAAGCTGTTTTACGGTCCCACCAATGTCATCATATTTTTTACCATGACTTTTACTATGACTTGTTGCAATAAAATGCTATTCTGCACGTATTCCATGGTCTTGAAAATGATGACATAGATTGCTAAGAGTTTTATAGTTTTTGTATTGGCTAGCTGCTCCATTACTAAAGTAATAAGATAAGGTCAAATTTGGTACAACAGTTTTTATATCTTCTAAAACTCTAGCTAAAAATGCATTAACAGCAATAACATCGTGCTGCATACAGTCAGATATTATGCGATAGTTTATTGGCTTGAGTTTATTTTCAAAATCTTTTAATATATAATGAATGGATGTAGTGTTGCTTAGCTATTATTCCAATGAAATCCTTGGACTGCGTCTTGTGCTATAAAACTATAATTTTCTGCAAAATCAAACAAAATAATAAATTGGTTTTGTTGAAAATTTTCTTTCAGAATTTGAAGAGATAAGTTTTGTCAGCTTCGTCTTGACTGTGCCTTTTAAATAAAATGACCGCGAGTTTTCAATTGTAAAAACAATTTCTCAAAAAACTCCTCTAACAGAAGTTCTAAAGTTACCAAACTAATTGTGTTCTCTTTTTTTAACCACTATAACCTCATATTTAAAACCATGTTGATTGAAAATATCACTTATATACTGTTTTAAGTTTTCTATATTCGGACAGTTATCACAACTATGAAACATTTAGCTGTGGTTCTCAATGTCATATGCTGTTTTTGATAAAAGATCTTTATATTTAATGTTACCTGGCACTGCATAAGTAATCAACTTTGAAGTTTGGTGTACTTGATAGATGCAAACTGAATGCACACCAGATGCACTACCTACTGTTACACACCATTTTGGACGAAGCTTTGAAAATCCTATTTTTTTTCCTGTTTTTAGAAACTCTAAATTTAGCTCTTTTTGATTTACAAGTAGTAATAGCTTTTGGATATGTTGTTTTTGACCATCAATTTTAACTGAAACAAATTCTTTCTTACTAGGACAAATCCAAGAATATTCATCACACTGATAAAAATTCTTGATATTTGTTTTAAGTGCTTTTTTTTTTATGTATGTATTTAGGTGTTCCCAGAAGTCTTTACAGTCTTATCATAGAGCACCACGGGAGAGCATTTAACAGGACCACGGGAGAGCAATTCACGCCTCCTTCCGTACCAATGTCACTTGTTGAGCTAGAGCACCGCAGGAGAGCATATAACAGGAAGTTCACGTCTCCTTCCGTACCGATGTCGCTTGTTGGGCTAGAGCTGGCGTTGAACCTTGGACCTCTGGGTTCTGAGCCAGAACTCTAACCACTGCGCCACGGCTGCTCTGTGATTATTTCTTATTTCTAGTAATTTTTTTACACTTGCCTAAGATACGCTTTTAGTTTACCTGCTTTTTTAACCATTGATTTTAGTACAGAAAATTGTTCTGTTGTTTGTTGGATTGTTTGATTTATCGATTTTTTGCTTAATGGCTTCACAAAATAAATCTTGGTCTGTCAATTTTTTCAAACATTCATTGTTTATTGAGCAACTAATAGAAATTTCATCATTGGAAATTCCCAAATAATTTAAAATTAATGTTTGTCAAGAATTTAAAACCTCCTTTAACTTTTTTTTTCCATAACTCAAGGTCTGTATTGAATAAACTCTGATTTTAATGGAGAGCAACCCAATATCCTGAATGGATATTGAATAAAAAAGAGCAGAAACTGTTGTGATTTGCAGTTGTTAATCTAAAGGTATTAATATTACTAATATAAGAAAAGCTGCTTTAACATCACACATAAAATGTAAAAAGCACACAGAAAGGTCTCCTAACAACAGTATTAAATCATTTCTAAAAGGTCTCCTAACAACAGTATTAAATCATTTCTAAAAGGTCTCCTAACAACAGTATTAAATCATTTCTAAAAGGTCTCCTAACAACAGTATTAAATCATTTCTAAAAGGTCTCCTAACAACAGTATTAAATCATTTCTAAAAGGTCTCCTAACAACAGTATTAAATCATTTCTAAAAGGTCTCCTAACAACAGTATTAAATCATTTCTAAAAGGTCTCCTAACAACAGTATTAAATCATTTCTAAAAGGTCTCCTAACAACAGTATTAAATCATTTCTAAAAGGTCTTCTAACAACAGTATTAAATCATTTCTAAAAGGTCTCCTAACAACAGTATTAAATCATTTCTAAAAGGTCTCCTAACAACAGTATTAAATCATTTCTAAAAGGTCTCCTAGCAACAGTATTAAATCATTTCTTGCTCTTAAATCTGTTTCAAGCAGAACATTAAAAAAACAATAGATAAAATGTTGGTAAACATTTTTTCTTTTGTTTTTTGATGTTTTGCTTGAAACCTTTATTTTCAAGTTATTCTGAAAATTATTTAGTAAAACATTTTCAGATAATGGCATTGCTAAGTTGTTTCAATTTGGACCCATCAAGGCCTTTTATATTGCAACATTTGGAGTCAAATGGACTTTTTAGTTCAATTTTGGGATGACAAAAATGATATGGTTAAAGCTAGTTATCTTAATTCAGAGTTCATGGAACAATTACATTTAGTGTTATCAAGTTAGCCTGCCAACTGGAAATCAGGAAAAAATCAGGGAAATGTTTTTGAGTTAGGGAAATCAGGGAAAAGTCTAAGATTTTTACTTTTTTTTTTTCCAAAAGTCAGGGGGAAAAAATCTTTTTTCGAAATTTTTTAGTTTCAATTTTTTTTTTTAATGTATAAAAAAAAGAAAAACTCTAGAAAACACAAACACAAGCATCAATTAAATGTTAAATTTATGTTATTAAAATTATGTTAAATTCATGAAAAATGAATGATATGTGTAGTGTATGTGGAAAGACTTTTTCCCTAAGTAATATAACGACAATCAAAAGTCATGAAAAAAGTGTGAAAATAAAATAAAAAATAAATCTTTAAAAAGCAACCAATGTGTTTGATTATTTTATTACTAATAAGTAACATAGCAGCATCGCAAGCTTTTGACAGCAGTATCAGGTGCTTGTGATTTGTTTTACTACAAATCACAAGCACCTATCTCATCAACTTTAGCTTCTAAATCATTTCCATTAACTTCTTGTGTGGCCAAATCTTCTCAAACAATGTCAATCGTTTTGACAAATTCCAGCACTTTTCTTTTTATTTATGGCTCAAAATGATGTAAGCATTTTGAGCCATAGTAGCAGCAGCAGTTTCGAATAACATCCTAATTTTCCAAACTGTAATGTTATTCACAACTATGTGACTACAAGATACTTTTCATCAGTGTTTCTTGGTCATGCATATGTAAATGATTTGTACAAAGTTTTCAAAAGTGTTTTAAATGAAAGTCAAGCCAAAATTTCACAAATTTCTATAAATGGAACAATATGAATTGAAAGTTTTTTGATATTCTCAATGAAGAATTTGGTAAAAAGTTACTTATAATGGAATCATGTGGCCTACATGTTGTACATGGTGCATTTCAAGTAGGTTATAAAAAGACAAAATGTAGTACTCAAAAGTTTTTATAAACTTTTTCTTGATAGTCCTGCTCTTAGGGTAGATTATCAAACAACTTTTGGAAATAATAAATTTCCGTTTCTTTTTTTTTTTAATTTGAAATTTTGTTCAACAAGATGGGTTGAAAATGTATCAAATATTAATGATAATGTGAAATTTTATGTCACACAGTCTAAACTACCTAATAATTATATTGTAAACATTGTTACTGATGATCTTCTGATGTCTGCTAAAATTGCTTTTTTTCAATATTTGGCTTCGATTGCTGTTCTTAAGAAATTTTTAGTGGAATTCTCCATTAGCACCATTCTTATACCAAGAACTTGAAAATCTAATGAGATCTCTCATTGTAT